AATAATGTCCAAATATTTCTTGAAACATTCCTTGTTTCTAATGATTGTAAATGATGGAATTTAACTCTATATATGTACATATATACACATAAATCTTTATGTATTGTTCATGTATTATATAGATCGTTTATTTATGCATAGTAATTTGTTATATATATTTGTGTTACAAACTCAATAAAATTCTACTATGTACACATTTAAGGTATATATGCATACCTATTGAATATCCACAGGATAGAAGCGTGACGACTATCCCTCCATATAGACGGCACACTTTTATATATATATATCCTGTGGATATAGCATACTCACTTTCGACGATACGATTTTATCGACAGTGTCAGAAAATGGATGTATAGGCGGTAGTACGAACGATTTCAACGGTAAAAGGAAAAAGGTCGGCATGGTCTTTCGGCAGGTTTTTCTCTGGTTTAATGATAATGTTTCTTATAATTAATAATGTTTCTTAAAATGATCGCTTTACGAATATTCGACGATTGCTTTACGAATATTCGACAATTGCTTTACGAATATTCGACGATTGCTTTATGAATATTCAAGTGATTCGTAAAAAAAAATATTAAAACAAAGTCATATGAAAATTATATACATTAATAATTACTGATTGTACAAGTTGCATGATACAGAAAAAAAATAAATTTGAAGAAATATAGACTTGAAATAGTTGAAATATATGACAAGATCTTTGCAAAAAGAATAACAGAATGGAATGTCCTTTTAAATTAGTTAAAACTGATTTTTTAAATTGTTCTACATAAATAGCTATAATGAAATAATAATAGTGTTATTTCGCTTGTTATATATTCTTAACTGAATATTATTGTATTCCAATTATACAATCTTTACAAAAAAGAAAAACTTAACATTGTGTTCTATTTTAGTAGCGATATACATGCAATTCACTACATGATTTTATCCTTTTTATCCCTTCAAATCTTTTTACTGAACCATCTGTTGAAATCTAATCTCAATAGTAATCGAGCCAAGTGTTCGCCACTAGGTTGCGCACGTACTCTATTCAATGTTTTCGTCAACCAATCCATTACGCTATCGAGTGTTTCGCATAATGTTTTGAGTTCTTCTTTTTCCGTTAAGAGCAAATTACCAACTTCCCACATGGATGCTTGTAAGATGAAATCGTCGCATAGTCGTAGTAAAAGGTGTATCAGTTTGTTCACCTGTTAAAAATATTCATGAATACCAGGACGACAATAACAGAGTTCAAAATCAATCAAAGAATGATGTACGAAAGATGATTCGTCAAACCTGCGACATTTTGCATAAAAAAATGTTTTCGAATTTTATAAACGATTCTAATGATATTTACGGGATTTTTTTTTCCTGCTCCGCTGCCTAGCAAAAAAGTTTGCGACATAACGTTAGCCAGAAACATCGAATGTGCCTTTTGTATATCTTCAAAATTTCGTGTGTTCTTCATATTCACTTCCATTATAGCATATTGACTTTCCATCACATCCACTTGTAAATAATACTGCAAGTTATCGACGATAAAAATCAAATTATTTCTTAATTGGATCACGCCGATGTCACTGCGAATATACATTTCGTTATAATAATTTTGGATAGCAAAAATATTACTTATCTTACAATAAATATAAATATATTTACAAATCTTTGTGATGCATGTGTTCACTCCAGAGATTCCACAACTCGATCTGAGTCTTTTTAACTCTCAATAGGAAGCGAAATAATGTATTGTAATCGTTTAACGCTACCGGATTAAACAACAGATGCAGCGGCCAGACAACCTTGTACTTCAATGTGATCATGCCCCATCCGCGTTTCTCTACAATAAAAAAAATTCGTTCGTCTTATCTTGGAATATTTTAGGAAAATCTTGCGACGCAAATATGCACCATTAGGATCTTGCTTTTCGTTATCAAAGAGATCGGTGCCATCCGTGTTGACGTCCTCGTTCTCAGACGGTAGCGCAGGCACCACGAAATTAAAACTGTCGATAGCGCTTTCATCGTTTAGGTGTATCTTTCTCAGTGCCATTTGAAACGCAAGATTAATGTCTCTGGACGTATGACTTGTTGGTGCCTTATTCAGAATGTGCGTCGTGAGCTTGATTAATTCTAAGAAAAGATCACCGCGTCCCATCAGGAAGAACTCTTTTACCAGCCTGAGTTGTTGCATCAGCTGCGCCTCTTCAACGGCAACATGCCACAAAAGTTCGGTCACGCACTGTTTCAATTCATTGATCGTGCGATCGAACTCAACAATGTTGAAAACTGACTTTGCCTGGAGATTCTGAAGTTTCCTAAAGTACTTGTACTCTTTGTCGCCCCATACGGAATTTTCTGTTTTTGGTATCATGTTGAAATCTAAAGACATTTAGCTCTTTATAATTATTGTATATGGCTGCACTTATTTGCTTATATAATAAATAACAAGGTATTTTCCTTTTTAGGTAATTAAAAGTTACAATTTTTTTACCTTTTTTCTGTCTGGGATCATTTCCGAACATAATGACGGTCTGACCGATGGTCAAGATTTTATTTGCCAACGATGGCTTGATGTAAGATGGAAGTATGTCCATCTGTACATTGTAGTCCCACATATCAACATCAATCTTTTTATCATTTATTGATTCACGTGCATCAATGTTCTTCCTATCCTCATGCATCAAAGCTTTCTCGCAATCCGATATTTTTTGTATAAAAAATTCCTTGTGAGGATCTTCTAGATGCCCATATAAGAGCCAGCTTGTTAAATGCTTGTAAAAAACAATATGAACAGAATGGGCCATCCTAAAAGTAGCGAGTAGACAAGTATCATAAGGCAAACAATGTCGAATTTAATTATAAAATCTCTTACAATTCTAGAGTGACGTTGATCTCAGGTATGCCGGTATGCATACGCTGATGTAAGCATTGCAACAATTTACAACCATGGAATTTCTGTGTACGAATCTAAAACGAAAAAAGTCAGTTGATAACATCTTTCTGTGTTAGCACATAAATTATAATATTTCATAACAGCAATTGTTGGATTCAATATACATTTAATCATAAAAATGCTTTGTCACTTTGATTATTATTCTATACATTGATTACATATACATTTATATATTTATTATTTGCTAAAACAAGTAAGATAATATAAAGTTATAACAAAAAAAGGAAATTTCTTTAAAGTCTAGATGTAAATGTACCATAAAACTCCCTAGAGTTAAAAATATCCCAAATAAAAAAATATTCTGCACATATGAAAGCAAATATATAATGACGATATGATAATAAACATTATAACTGTAATGAAGAAAACACATACATTGATCTGAAAAAAAAAAACTGAATTATACTGAAACCAACTAATGTAAAATATCTTTCTTGAAGAAATCTATAATGACCTCACGAATGATAGAATGTAATAAAGAAAATAAACAAGTGTATTTTTCAACGCTGCACAGAATTAACGACAGTGGAGTATGATTATCGTTTAAGACTGTATTCTCCAATTCAATTATTTCTTTACGAAATGGCTCTAATGCTTGATCCATTCCATCGAAAAGAGCACGTATATAAAGACCAGGAGTTACAGATTCTATAAAACACAAAATGGTTAAATTGAACATAAGACAATTATGTCAATTACATAAAATATGTTTCATCAAATTTCTCATCAAACCTTTTGTATTTTTACTGTATATAAAATTTCGTATGACGTTACACTTCTTCACAAAATCTAGTATTTTATTAAGTAGCGCCTGTTCTCCAGGATGTAAATACTTGTCAAGATCTACGGACTAGAAGAGAGATTGATGAGAAACACGTAAAGATAATATTTAAGACATCTGTTCACTCACTGTTACAATTGCTAATAGATTGTAACATTAGAACTATCAGAAGCAAGAAAACACATAAATAAAATGCAAATTATATTCAAACAGAAATTTTTTTAAATAAAATGATGTTTCCTACCGATAGAATAGAGTTATTAGGAGTAGTTTATTGAAAATTATCTTCTTTCTAGGAAATATTAAATATTTCTATATATTATTATATAATTTTTGATAGCTTGTCATAGCTGTAAACACATAGCTCATTTTGTTTTTGATTATACATTACACAAAAAGATTAAAAGTAAAGATTCGCTCTTTCGAAAGCTGTAAACAGAATTTGTTTGCAGTGTTTTAGTTCAGGCCACGGAACTTTGTAAAGTTCGTGTGAAATTTTTAGATTTTACGAAATGTTTATTTATATCCCTATAACTTTATAAAAAATCAATCAGATCGAAATACCAATTACTGCTATTGAAAATAGAGACTTCGAGTTTTGCTTTCTTATAAGTCTCTTTATAATAATTTTTGACGAAGTTTCACTTGAATATTACCCATTTTTGGAGGACAGACTAAGTAATCCTTCCATTTTTTTTGCATAGTGTATGTATAATTCAATTTAAGATATATGATTTATTAATAAAACAAAAAATTTTTGTTTTTATCACAGTTTTTATATTTTACAAGACGGTTCTATCGATTCTAAGTATTGTTTCATTTATACATATTTTCATATATTTTGCAAAAATTTTTATTGCAAATCCTCTTGCATCTGACGTCATAATTGGAAATAGTAGTGGTGAGTGAGCACACTGAACAGGAGAGAGGCTTAAATGTATAATACTCTTCATTGATTAAGATATGTACTCACATCTGTTTCTATCATCTGCGATACATTGGTTGAACATCCCCAAAGTGACAATAAAATCTCGTGCAACATTTTTTAAATATTAGACATCGAATAAATGATAAGAGATGTATTAATTTCACATTTAAGGTAATTATTCAGTTTAACGACGTCGGCTCGAAAATCAATGAAACTGTACTTATTCGACGCGTTTTTATCTGAAACGAACGAATTTGACGGAAAAAAGCGTTGTTCTGTCCTGCGAATCGAAATATTGATCGTAGAAGTTTGTTAGTTGAGGTTACGAAATCTGTCATATCAATACAAGAAATCTGTTCGCGTTGTTTGCACTTTTTGCACTCGGCATCTCCAAGTCAGTTCAAGTTCGTTCGCGTGCTCCAACATGTAAGTAGCGAATCCATCGTAATTGGCTGAAATAGAACCGGGCAATCGTCAATCGTAATCAACTCTGATATTCCCTTTATGCAAAAGTGTGAAACTACGCCTTCACAGAATCACAGTATTGGCTAGATATTGTATTTTCATTGTTCAGAATATCTGGAAAAAGGAAGAAAGTATTCTTATTAATCGAATGACGACGGAGGAGCATAAACGTCTAGCTGACATCGTGAAGGAAACTCATGCTCTATTGCGCGCCGACTATCACCAATATGGCGCCGAGATGGCATGGAAACGCCATTTGGCGCGAAATGATGTTCTACAGGTTTGCTTTAAACTTTCATTGCTTATAAAGTTAAATATTGTCAGTTCAAAAGGAGTAATACAAATCAGAATATATTTAATTGTATAATTTGGTGTTATTTCAATATTATTTCAGAAATATGCTGTATCCATGCACAAATTGGCTACTAAATGCTGGGTGGAGAGTAATTCAGATTTGAGAAACGGAACGTTCTGTAGAATAGAATGGATAAAAACTCAATGCAAAGAATACTTTTACAATGGTGGTAGAGAGAAATATGATAAGAAAGAGCAGGAGATAAACGCTAAAATGACTTGTTTTTCAGCAAAATCCTACGATGAAAGTGCAACGTGCGAGAAAGATGATCCAAGCCATATGGAAAACGGTTTACAAAATTTTTATGAACGGAGAATATCGCTTTTGGATGTAGGAAGTTGTTACAATCCTATAAGTATTGACAATGCGTTTGATGTAACTGCGATAGATCTAATTCCCACGGTAGGAGTCTATCGATGCGATTTTTTGAACATTGTGATCGGAAAGGAGAAAATTCTCTCACGAGACATGCAGGAGATTTGTCAATTGCCCATGAATTTCTTCGACTCTGTGGTATTTTCCCTATTGTTGGAATATCTCCCATGTCCAAAACAGAGATACATCTGCTGCAGAAACGCATATGATGTATTAAAGAGTGGTGGCATCCTGATTATTGTGAGTCCAGACTCGAAACATGTTGGTGCAAATGCGAGATTGATGAAATCTTGGAGGTACACGCTGAGCAAAATAGGATTCATGAGAATTAAGTATGAGAAACTGCGTCACATTCACTGCTTGGTGTTCAGAAAGTGCGTGTACAAAGACGTAGCGATACGGTGGTCCAAGTTGCATCGTTTTTTTGAGACTGACAAGAAATATTTGTCCGAGACAAAGATTTTTATTCCCCAGGATTTTCAGACCGTACGCTCTAAGGAAGAACAAGAGAAATTGGACGAATATGAGGAAACTGATATAGCGAGTGCTTTTTCTGAATTACCGTTTAATAACGAAACATTAACATAATATGACAATGCTTATACTTATTTGTATTTTGCTGGCAATTTTATTTTTGTTGATGTTAAATAAAATATTTTATGGGAAGAAATTGTAAAATATAAAAACTAGATCAAAGACCTAAAACTCTAGATATACTAGAATACCGAAGTAGCGCAATTTTTTTATCTGAGCCGAAATGTCTATAACTTTCTTATTGGTCGTGTTCAGCAGGGCTCTTATTTTCGATAAGTGCTTATACGAAAAACTAAAAAAACATTATCGTATGTATTACATATATTATAGTATTTTTCTAATTTTTTATTTGCGATATATTTCCAAGAGTATTATAAGCCGGTTTTACCAACGTCAATCAAGCTTAATCGTGATTAACTGTCAATAGCAATTGGTCGATTCTACTAAACAGCAAACGCGATTGGTCAGTCGACGGATTAAGCTAACTGGCGTTGGTGAAACTGGTCCTAGGAGCTTTGAATCAATTGTTACGGAGCGAATCAGTGAGCTACTATTGATCTAAAAGAATACACCAATAGCAGCGAGCACCGGAGCGCTCACAGATCTGCTCCGCATCAGTTGAATTTGCTGAAAGCGACTATTAGCTATTTCTACTGCCATTTTCGATTTAATTGTCTGTAGTCCAATAAGCTCTTATTCGATTTAATAAGCGTATTCGATTTATTGATTCGACCCGACTCCGACTCAATGGTCTGTTCTTTTTAGCTGCATTTCTTGCACAATTTAGCTTTTCTTTTGCTGCTAAACAGAACAAATTATTGACTCGGAGTCGGATCAAGTCATTGAATCGAATACGCTAATTGCTATTAGTATTATTAGTATATGATATGATTAAGTCCACAAAATAAAGGATCTTTTCTATACTTTGGTATCGATTAGAATATTCTATACTTATAAGAAAAGCGCAACTGATGTTAAGTATTCTGATTGATTATTTTAATCACGTGATTAGCAGCCAATAATGAACTTATTTCTGTTTATTAAAATGGCTGCTTAATGAATTGGGGATTTCATAGTCTATTTTGCAAACAATGCCATTTTTAGTACTTTTCTAGTACTTTTTAGTACTTTTTAGTACTTTTTAGTACTTTTTAGTACTTTTGCGATACTGACATAAGTCGGTCGCGCTTCTTTAATAAATATAAGACTTTAGTATTGATTGTCTCGTCAGTAAGTTTGGAACTAGGAAAGTTTTTTCGATCTTTCCTAATCTTTTCTTGTTATCTCTTGTCGGTGCTGCACGTGGTACGTATAATTTTGACTTTATTTTTAGATTCTCTTTAATAATCCGTTGTATTAGATAATGTATTTTAGGATTGTAATGTGTTTTAAATCGTCAAATATATATATGTCTTCGCAGTACGATAGTTATGTAAAAAATGATCTTTTTACATTCGTTAGATACACATAACCTGTAAAAAAACTTTAGTTTAAATAGTAGATAATAATTTAATTAAATAAAAGTTTATTTTGTTTATAAAATATATTTATCATCAAAAATATAAAATACGAATATATATATATATATATATATATATATGTGGATAATGGTGAAAAAATGTGAATACTGATTGTTACATAGAAAGTACAAGATGTCGTCTCACTTGAATTGGATGATAATCCGCGACAACAATGCTTTTCTTCTGAAAAAACGCAACATCAACAAGCCATTTTCTACGGTTCGTTAAGCCTGCTGTATCTTCTAAAGTATTAATAACTTCAACAATATTTCTTGCTATTACATAGATTAATAATTCTTTAGGAGGCTAACAACTTGACGAATCTGAGTAGTTATCGCTACTCTGGTTTGATTCACCGTAAGAGTGTCGGGGTTATTGATACTCCCGACAAAAAGGGTTTCACAGTTGTCTATAAAAAAGCCAAGGCAGTCAACAAGCCTGCTAAAGCTAATGTAAAGAGCACAATGAAGGCAGGAGCTCGTCGTTCTCTACACAAATTGAAAACTCTACTTAAAAAGAACAAATATCGCGTAGATCTCACTAAGGTATGCAAATTATAGAATCATTATGCTAAGTTTATTAGTTCTTTGCTTTTATGTACTTCAAATAAAAACTTAATAAACTTTTTACAATAAGCTATTACAATAAGAGCTATTATATAAATTGCAAGGACCATGGCACATACAAAATTTGTAGGACATTTGCAGTAAGACATGAGCAATGAGGAATCAACATGTTGGATTGGATGTTATAGTGATTGGTCAATTTGTTTATTGCTTATGTTTTACTGCTTAAGTTTTTTGTGCTATTGCCCTAAGTCTACAAGAAATTAATCAATCACAGTATATTTTTCTTCTTGTCTTATATTGTCAGTATATTTTCTTCTTGTCTTATAACTTGACTATAATTGGTTGATTTCTTATAACTTGTAACTTAAGTAATGATTTCTTGTAAATTGAATACTTACTTTTATACTACCCTGTATTATTATTGACAGTTGAAAGATTAATGATTATGTTTTGCACAGCACTCTTAATCAGATTTAGTAACATCAGTAGTTATAAAACAAACTAATTATAATTATTCCATTCTTCAGAAGAACAGCTATAATTGACCAGTTTATTATTATAATCTGATAATAATTGTTTCATTAATTAAATTTTTTTTTAAACAAAATATTTACTAATTAAAGATTCTTATTATGTTTGTTTGTACATAAAACAATTTTTATATTTTAATTGTATGTTATTTGCCATTAATATTAATGCTTTTATTTAAAATGTTTTTAGGCTGCACTGCGACGGGCTAGTGCCGTACTGCGATCACAGAAACCTCTTCCCACTAAGAAAACACGAACTACTAAAAAGACCGATTAATTTGTATATTTTATTAAATATACATTGTAAATTAAAATATCTATTACAGACGACGTATTCTGTAAAGTAATTGTGCTCTAGCTTAGTAAAATTTTTTGACGTATTATTTACACTTGATTTAGAAAAACTTTGCTGTGCACCATTATTTTGTAGATATGTCATATTTTTATAACAAAATACACATTTCAGCAAAATAAAAATATTTTGAAATAAGCTCTTAATTATATTAGCTTTTAATTAAATTAGATCTTAATTATAAACATCTTTTTGGGTAAGCTTTTTATATAAATTAAAGCTTTCTTTATTAGATTGCGATATTTAGGTCTTATATTATGGAATTTTATTTTTAGATTGAAAGGAGAATCAACACGTGCTTCTTCTGTGATTGATCTGCGAAACCCAATTTTTAATTAGGTAAATTTTATTTATTAAGTTTTTCTTATTTTATAAATTAATTTAATTTAAAATTAATTAAATTAAGTTCTTAATTTAAGTTTCTTATTTGCTATATAATATTTTTCACGTGCGTGCAATTACACGTCAACTTTAATATTGCTATGAATGCCATGATTTTCAATTTGCTAATTTTGACGTACCAGTTAAGTTACCAATAAAGTTATCAAAAAAGTAACTATTGTAATTTCGTTATAAATAACGAGTTACTTCCATTACTTGGCTAATATTATAATGCTATATCATTGTATAAAGAGGATGATAATTTGTGCATCCACCAAGATCTATGAGTGCTATGATTTATATAGTATTTGCTAACTGATTATTATTACAATAATATAAAATTTAAATAAAAAATAATTTTTAACTAATACGATTGTTTTATTATTTACAGGTCATTCGTGAATTTTAAACGATACAGCATTTGGAGATTGTATAAAGGTATTCATAATTTTTTTTTATATTATCGTATTTTGAATTATATTTTAAATAAAATTATGTCATTGTAATTACCAAGATCTATGAATGCTGCGATATTTCAATTTGCTACTGACTTAGTAAATTTTAATAAAACATATAATAATTTTATTTAATAACAAACTGGGAATTTTCTGTTTATTAAGTTTGCTAAATCTTTGGAAATTGTAATGAATCGACAAAGATTACGGACAATGTTCATTTGTCATAATTTTTGTTTATTATGTAATGCTATATCATTGTATAAAGAGGATGATAATTTGTGTATCCACCAAGATCTATGAGTGCTATGATTTATGTAGTATTTGCTAACTGATTATCATTTACAATAATATAAAATTTAAATAAAAAGTAATTTTGTACTAATATAATCGTTTTATTATTTGCAGGTCATTCGTGAATTTTAAACGATACAGCATTTGAAGATTGTATAAAGGTATTTATAATTTTTTTTTATATTATCTCGCATTTTGAATTATATTTTAAATAAAATTATGTCATTGTAATTACCAAGATCTATGAATGCTGCGATATTTCAATTTGCTACTGACTTAGTAAATTTTAATAAAACATATAATAATTTTATTTAATAACAAACTGGGAATTTTCTGTTTATTAAGTTTGCTAAATCTTTGGAAATTGTAATGAATCGACAAAGATTACGGACAATGTTCATTTGTCATAATTTTTGTTTATTATGTAATGCTATATCATTGTATAAAGAGGATGATAATTTGTGTATCCACCAAGATCTATGAGTGCTATGATTTATATAGTATTTGCTAACTGATTATCATTTACAATAATATAAAATTTAAATAAAAAGTAATTTTTAACTAATATAATAATTTTATTATTTGCAGGTCATTCGCGAATTTTAAACGATACAGCATTTGGAGATTGTATAAAGGTATTTATAATTTTAGGTACTTATAATTTTTTTTTTATATTATCGCATTTTGAATTATATTTTAAATAAAATTATGTCATTGTAATTACCAAGATCTATGAATGCTGCGATTTCAATTTGCTACTGACTTAGTAAATTTTAATAAAACATAATAATTTTATTTAATAACAAACTCGGAATTTTTTGTTTATTAAGTTTGCTAAATCTTTGGAAATTGTAATGAATCGACAAAGATTACGGATAATGTTCTTCATTTGTTATAATTTTTGTTTATTATGTAATGCTATATCATTGTATAAAGAAGATGATAATTTCGTGTATCCACCAAGATCTATGAGTGCTATGATTTATATAGTATTTGCTAACTGATTATCATTTACAATAATATAAAATTTAAATAAAAAGTAATTTTGTACTAATATAATCGTTTTATTATTTGCAGGTCATTCGTGAATTTTAAACGATACAGCATTTGAAGATTGTATAAAGGTATTTATAATTTTTTTTAATATTATCTCGCATTTTGAATTATATTTTAAATAAAATTATGTCATTGTAATTACCAAGATCTATGAATGCTGCGATATTTCAATTTGCTACTGACTTAGTAAATTTTAATAAAACATATAATAATTTTATTTAATAACAAACTGGGAATTTTCTGTTTATTAAGTTTGCTAAATCTTTGGAAATTGTAATGAATCGACAAAGATTACGGACAATGTTCATTTGTCATAATTTTTGTTTATTATGTAATGCTATATCATTGTATAAAGAGGATGATAATTTGTGTATCCACCAAGATCTATGAGTGCTATGATTTATGTAGTATTTGCTAACTGATTATCATTTACAATAATATAAAATTTAAATAAAAAGTAATTTTTAACTAATATAATCGTTTTATTATTTGCAGGTTATTCGCGAATTTTAAATCATATAGTATTTGAAGATTGTATACATAAAGGCATTTATAATTTTTTTTTATATTACCTCGCGTTTTAAATTATATTTCAAATAAAATTATGTCATTGTAATCACTAAGATCTACGGACACTATGATATTTCAATTTGCTACTGACTTAATAGATTTTGATAAAAAATATGTATATATATATATAATTTTGTTTAATAAACAACTCTCCTTATGAATAATTGATATATTTGTTCTGAGGATTTAGTATAGACACGAATCATATCGTATCTACTTTCGTCGATACGATTTTATCGATAGTGTATGTAGTCAACGTGGTTCTCAAACTGAAAACGGATGTATTGGCGATTTCGACGGTAACAGGAAAAAAACTGGCATGGCTCCTTTCAGGTTTCTCTCTTCCAATACTTCTATGGTTATGTCCTTTAATCTGTATTAGTGAAAATGGGCATTAATAAGTGCGTACTCTACAATCTTGCGGGTCTACTCGTGGCATGGTAAAAATGGAGTAGAGCAAAGATAAGGTTAATTACAGTGTTCTAATGGCAATTGTTCGTAGTATATAACAATGTACGGCAGTTGGAGGCTTTTCTAAGCTCACAAGTGAGGACGTCTGTGACAAAGGTTATGGGATAATTGATACCATCGCCGAAGTTTCTCACTCGCGAGGAGTATGGGGAACTTTGGGAGTGACATCGTGATATGGTACGTTTCACTTTCGGCTTTATCAAAAGCATAAATATAACGGCGGTATTAGTCCTATTTTTACAGCTGATGCGATACAGTAACAACTTAGCTCAATGCATAGGGCCGGTTTCATCATTGCCGATTACTTGATCGGCCGATTACTTTGTCATCAAAATTGTCAACGGCAACTCTTTAAAATTTGTCTTAATTTTTAATCTATTCATGGCGAAGGCAAAATGTAGTATGAATAATAAATTAGATTTGGAAATATAAATATATTTTGAGTATCTTTACAAATATGTATTTTGTTGTCAAGAAATTAGGTTAGAGATAAGTTTTCAGTTTAGAAGTTGGCTTAAATTTAATCGGCGGATTAAGTAACTGTTTATAAAACAGCCAATATCCTTCTTATACATTAGATATTTTTATAATAAACATGTAATTTTTATGTATTTTATTAATATGTAATTAAAGAGAATACATTTGGTAGCTTGTTGCTACTATTTTCAGTCAGCGTCATATTTGGAACTAGTGAAATTATTAAATTGGTCATGAACAATGGAGAGGATATTCTCAAAATATCTACATATAATTGGATTATTCGATTATGTTTGAATTTATTGGGATATGCCACTGTGTTATTGCCAGGTTGTCTTATATACAAATATGTACGCTATATAAAGTACATTCAGAGAGGTGGTAAGTATTGATATGGAAAGAACTAATCAGAATTAGTATGTAATATATTGCAACTTCATTACCATTCCAATTTACTTTTAAAATAATGAGTAATGATATTACATTTCCTTATGAAGTTAATTTTTTAGGAATTAATGTGGAATTAATAAAAAATTTTTACTTAAAAAAAAATAAAAGTACTCTTAAAAATTCGTAAAATAATAAGCACAAAAAAATATATAGCCTATAATATTTGAACAATTTTTCTGATTAATAATTTATATTTTTTTCTAGTTATGTTTTAATAGAAATATATGGAAATGTATTATAAAATAATGACAAAAAAATCTCAGTTTTGTAACATACATTCATCTAGTTTTGAATCTTATTCCTTTACTAAAAAGTGAAATTTTTACATTTTTTATTTATATTTACCATACAAATTTATATATGATATTCTATTAATATCAAGAAAAAGTAACGAAGATAGTAATAACTCGTTAATTTTTAAGAGAAGGATCCGATGGCACATATCGTTATCCTAATTGGTCAATTTAAAATAAAATATTCTTATTGGTAAAGCAGTGAAAAATTACTAGGCACCGGCCGATGTAAATGGATGTGTGCTAACGGGACCTTCTCGTTTATAAATAACAAATAACGAGTTTTATTTAAAAAAAAAAAATAAACGGTAATGAGTTTTATAAAGTAAATTTGCCAACTCTGAAATATAATGTTCCAAAGTATATTATAGTAGTTCAGAAGAATATTTATGCAGGGAAAGGTTGTATTCCCAGACTGGTGCATTCGTGCTTTGTGGGACACTGTGAGACAGGTTTCCTGGATTCGCCAACTTATGCTCCTAATGCTTCCACTCACATTCAACGTACTTTTACTCAAGACGCTTTGCTATTGATGTATTGTTTCCTTGGATTACAAATTAGTTATTTAACTTGGGGTTACCTGCAGGAAAAGATAATGACGCAGGTAATGGCCAACTTGCATCAACAATAAGAAAATATTTATTTAAAAAATGTACATATGTATTACGTTATCAGTGTGATTAATAATTAGTTGTAGTGTAACTACTAACTACGAAGTAAAACATTACTTGTAACGTACTTGTACGTCGTTTTTATAACGAATTCAGCTGTTATTGTAAAAATGTAATTAAATCAAAATAACATTGTATTCATTTGTACAGGAATACGAAGATGCTTCTGGCAGTAAAGCACGGTTTCAAGATTCGCAATTCTTGGTATTTGTAAATCGCATTCTTGCTTTTCTGATGTCTGGATTATACTTACTTATTCAACGTCAGCCTCAACATAAGACGCCATTGTATAAGTATGCATTTTGTTCTCTATCAAATATCATGAGCAGTTGGTGTCAATATGAAGCTCTGAAGTACGTCAGTTTTCCTTCACAGGTGAAAAATTACGATTGTATATCTTCTGATGATTTGCTGATTTTCTACTTACTAACATAACTTTTATGTATATCTTATGTAAAAGCTATTTATATAAATGTTTCATATTCGTTCAATTATTCGTTTAGGTTTTAGCTAAAGCCTCTAAAATTATTCCGGTTATGGTTATGGGAAAAATAGTTTCGCATACGTCATACGAATATTATGAATATGTTACTGCGATTCTTATTTCTATCGGAATGACGCTCTTTATGCTGGACAGTTCTGATCATAATAAAAACAGTAATATTAATTGTCAAATATGCAATGCATTTTAATTGCAACCAACATTATATTAATTTTATAATTTAATACTTTCACAGATGGAGCGACAACACTCTCCGGTGTTATTTTATTGGGAGGTTACTTATTATTAGATAGTTTCACAAGTACCTGGCAAAATGCACTGTTTATAGATTATGGAGTAACTAGCGTACAAATGATGTGTGCAGTCAATATGTTCTCCTGTTTGCTAACTGCGATGTCTCTGTTTCAACAATCGAGCTTTCCGCTAATTTTTTCTTTCATGACGACGGTAATTAATTTGGAATACGCATGTTAGTCCCTTTTAATATTGCTTACATAAAAGTAGCATTAACAAATTTTATTGTACAGTATCCCAGGTTTATAATCGACTGTTTGCTGATTTCCATTTGCTCTGCAAGCGGCCAATTATACATTTTTTACACCATTTCGAAATTTGGATCCATTACATTTGTCATTATGATGACCATTCGTCAAGTACATAATTATTTCATATAATATCAATTTGTCAAAAAAAGAGTTAGGGCAAGAGCACACAATAGACAAAGTGTCGGTCAATTGTTGTGTCTCTCGTAAAACAAAATTATACCATACCTATGAGCGTAATTACATACGTTACCGAGAGGACTTTTCATAAATGACAAAGTAGGCCGACACTGTATTTATCGTGCTCTTGCCCTTAAATCCAGACTATAATCCCGCATTTAATAATATCTGTTACAGGGTTTGGCGATATTATTGTCATGTTTGATTTATCATCACGAGATTACTGTTATTGGAGTGTTTGGGATATTGTTGGTATTTGGCTCAGTATTTTTACGAATTTATTGCAACAATCGATTACGTGTAATCAGAAGACGCAGAGCCGCAGCAAACAGTATCAAACATTAAACATTGTATTAGTTAGACAGAATTACAATCTTAATTGTCATAGAAGTAGAATTCTATCAACTGTTTATTACAGTTTTTTGCTATGGATTAGGATAGAATTCGTAGTAATTAGATATTGACTGTAATTATGGATGCTAAATTTTAATCCTTTATTTATAATTAACATCGCATCATAATCTCTCTTTCCATATACAGCATATACTATATCTCGCGAATGTGTATATCCGATAGTTTGGGATAGAAATTTCAATCATGAACTTTAAGAAATATTTATATTTATAAGTTTTGTAGCCAATGTACGTCGCGTGTGTAATATATTTGGAAAAATATGTACTTGAAGATACATGTGATCTGACAAAAACAGCATTATATCTTTATGAAAAGAAAATTTGTGTTATGCCATATGTATAAAGGCGTATACACGTATTGTATTATTTATTTGAAAAATATTTATTTTGATATAAATGCATATACAGAACAAACACATGCAAGTTTCTTACCTTAGATGAGTATATCCAATATAGAAGTAAGTACATATAATTCTTTCTTTTCTGTATGGGACTTAAGCTACATATTCATCAAAGGAAGATAGAACATTTGTGTTTCCATTGGCTATTTTCATTTTGGAAAATATGTTGAGAACGATAAAGATTTTGGAATTTATAATCTTTTTTACCATTTTTTTTTTTAGCCCAAAATGTTATCTAGAGCTATCGAGTTATGACAGCATTTACTACGAAAGCTTTGCGATCTGTATACAAATCTGTATTTACGAAACTGAAGGCTACAGATTAATAGATTACACAAAGAAATGATGTCTTTGTTCTTGAAATTAAACTTGGACGTCTAACTAAAACGCTATGTTGCTATCGTTTTATGAAAATTTATGTATATGTGTGCGTACGACGTTGATGTATTAGTATATAAAGATGTGTCACATTTTATCAATGAAACAGCGATCTGGGAATTCGGGCTTCACTTTAGGATTCCTTAAAGGATTCAAGTAAGTAGCCATTTTAAATCAGAACTAATGCGAAAAATAAAATTTTGTATTTAGTGTACAAGAATATGTCTGACAATATATTTTGATAACAAATCGCTTTCCTCAAGGAATTCATGAAATATATAATCCACCATATATGTTTCTCTCTTGAAGGCTGTTCGCAATTTATACTGTCGCCTTTCTTCATATTTTTTTCTTCTAATTGAAAATAATGTAAACTAAAGCAGCAGCTGCAAAGAAATAGTCATTCTATTCATCTCAACACTTGTTCAAATATGTAACAAAACAAAACATTCTATCCAATTGAGTTAATTTGACAAATTATTTCTACTACCTAGTTTCTATAAATTGCTCGTTTTTAGCAACAATACAAAGTTCTTCAATATCCTTTCGGTAAATACATAAATTTACAGATAATTACTTAAATGAGAATACTTGTTTGGCAGTATTTATAATTTTAATTACACAAGTTGTACAAGTAACATAAAAATCTTTTTGACGACTAGTCTTTATTTTTCACTTGAAATTTGTGGTAAAGCTATTGTACAGAATCGATTTATCGATGTATATCTAAATATATTATTATATATATTTATAGAGTTTAGGGAAAATAATCTGATTCTCTTTCCTGTACAGGATTTTTTACACGTAGAGATATAATAGATATAATCGTACATAGCAAGAAGTCTTATTGTGTATCAAAAAACAATGTTGTCAAAAAGTTTGATTTCGACCTTGATGAATCGACGATACTTTGAATAGATTATTAAGCGACAAGTGTAAAATATAGTCGTCGTGCGACTAGAATATCAGAAAAGATAACATTTAGTCATTTCACTGGAGCTGGCGGTCGGTGGATGGCTATAAGGCACATGATCGCAATGACTACCTCGGATGCTAGCAGAACCAACTGTATACTGCAGAGAATCATCTCCAACCTGAGTACGTAGTACTGCCAGAGCAGGAAGTAGAGCGTTGCTAGCGAGCTGGGAATGGTCAGGACGATTCCGATGAGAATTGGCAGTCCACGCTCAGTTAGATTTCCCTTTCTTCCCAGATAAATCCTGCCGCTCTCCGTCACTATCAAGAAAAACAGAAGCGCAAACTCTGTCAGAGTCTTGCTTGTGCCCGGTGATGGCAAATTCGCGACCTTGAATAGCCCCATGCCCAGCTCACATACGGCGAACATGCCGAAGTAAAACGAGTTCAGATACATGAGAATTTCGTAGGTGAGTGAGGAGTTCACTACGGTGGGCATTATCACTCTTCAACACTGAAACCTGAAGCCTTCCGATCGCTACGGTACGGTAGAAACCTTCAAGTTGTCTCTACGAATAGATACACAGTGATACAGTTGTCCAATACACGGTATGATGCGTCGTTTACAATACACGGAGTAAGCAAGAGTAAGAAATTGACCAATCACAGTTGATTATTCTTCTCACATTCGACTGTCGGTAATGAGTTACTTTTTTGCAAATCAATAATGAGTAACGATAACGAATTATTTTGTAGGAAAAAGAAAAACGGTTATTTTTATGAGGTAACGTTGCGAACCCTGTCAACATATGTTTTGATAATGAGACTTATAATTAAACTTTCAAATTAATAAATACATTTTTACACACACACACACACACACACACACACGATTTCACTCTGCTTAAAGATTCATTTTTTTTTTTAAAGCAATATATATAATTATATTTGAACTTGATATTTAAGAAGATTCATACGGTAGCAAGTATTTGATTAAATTCATCATTATAAATTTTGCAAAAAATTATACGCTATAAATTTAATATATGCCAATATATGGCCTTTTTGTTTTAGAAAAAAAAATGAATCGATCTTCTTCATAAATAAAGTAAAATCACTCTCCTCTTGAAGTAATATTATTCGGTCTATTAAGAAGTTTCATTCAATAATTGGAGTAAATTTTGCAATTCTTTACAGTGACAAAATTCACTGCAGTAGTCCAATTTTAACGCAGTGAAATTTGACTGCTACAAATTTAGAGTGTAGGTCTGAAATAAAAATTTTAAGTCTTAAATATATAAGAATCAACTGTATGCAATATGAATACCGATCACAGAGACGTATTAGCATCTTAAGACGGACTTCAGATAAAAATAGATTAATACTTATTAATATCGATAAATGTCGCGTTTTTCCTTAGGATTAGGAATATTTCACGATTTCATTCTCAAGTGCGCATTGAGCGTACGTATGAGCGTGAAGGGTGAAAATACAATTCCGCCAATCTCTCGTCCGTAATAATGAAAAAGCGGTCGGAGGCGGGAAACGTTGCTCCGACCTCCGGCTGCTCCGAGTCCAGAGTCCGCGGTGAGTGCGCGCGGCAACGCGCACTGCGCAGTGCGCAGGACGACGCAGCATCATCAGGTTTATTATGTTCGTTATGTTATATCCCCCGTGGCGGCAGCAGCACAGCTAACAGCTTACGTAACATATAGTTGTAGTGCGCGCACCATTCGCCGCGTTGCAACGCTTACCGCAGTTCCGTCAGTTCCGCCGAACTCCGAAGGGTTCCGGAAGTATCCGTTCGTCCGTCAGTCGATCGGTCGAATTTTTCGCGGGTTGACAAAGAGGGACACGGACATGGACAGGGTTCTCTGCGACTATACATATACACATATATATATATATATTTATTTATTTGATTTACTCCAGTTTACTCCACTGAACTGTGCTGAACGGAGCCACGCTGGGACTGCTGGCTGAGGACTGACGACGGAAGAAGAGAGAGAGAGAGAGAGAGAAAGAGAGAAACTGCGCGCGCACGAAAGGGAAGGAAGGGAAAGGAAGAGAGACGGAGGCGGAGTATATAGCCGTAGGTCAAACGTAGTCAAACGCAAGTTAGACGGAGACGCAGCGAACCTAGAGAAGAGGTGTGTATGTGCAGTGTACGTGTGCTGTGCGAGGGCAGCGCGAGTATCAACCAGCTGGTTGGCAAGGCAAGGGAGGCCAGTCGTCAGTGAGACGCAGTGAGACGCGGTGAGACGCGGCATCATCTCGCGAGCGCGTGTGTGTTATTTGTTCGTGCGCGCTCACGTATCCTAGTGTTCCTAGTGCGGATTTCTCCACTTGTGTATGTGTGTGTGCGTGTGTGTGTGTGTGCTTGCCTGCCTGCCTGTTACTATTATCTCCTTTTCCTCCTTCCTGGTTCCGTCGTCGTCACTGCACGTACGTAACGTACATTCATTCGTTCGTTCGTTCGTTCGTTCATCTGGAAGTGTTCAACGTCGTGCCTATCTGATCTGCTCGCGTCTAGCACCTCGTTCTTGGACACGACTCTTGCCCCCCATAAAGCGAACATCATCTGTTCTACCAGTTCCAGTTCCAGCTCCAGTTCCAGCCGCAGCGTATCGCTCCACATCTCGCTCCACCACTAATCGTTCGTCCCATTCGCGCGCGCTCCTTCGTACTATTTTTTCTCTTTCTCTTTCCTCGCCTTTCTAGCGAGTCGCTGAGTTCTCCTCCTCCAATCAGGAGAAGGCAAGAAGAGAGAGAGGGTGCGCGTCTCGTGTGTGGTGTACACGGTGTACACGGTGTACATCGCATCCCGCTTCGATTGTGCGTACCGTTAGTGGTTGGTGGTTGGTGGCTGGTGCGCGCCGTTTATTCCGTAACGTAATCTATCTCTCCGTGGCCGTGCGTGTGAACTCGCGCGCGCGCGCGCGCGTGTACAGGTGTGAGTGTGTGTGCGTGTGTGGGTCTGGGCTGGGGGGGGGGATTACGTGCGTGCAACGAGCGAACCAAGATGGCCGCTGATTCAGGAATGGAGACGTGTCCCTCCCCGGAGATTGCGGACTCCAGAAAGCGGCCGCTCGACTGCGATGCGGAGAACGGCGCGACCAAGAGATCACACTACGGATCAGGTATTTTCGATCGGGCGTCGTCGACGCCGCGCGTCAACATCGTCAGCGTCGCCATTGCAAAATTGCGGCAATTTCACTCCTTCGCTCGACGGTCGCCTATATCAGAGCCTGGTTTCTCCCCTCTCCTCTCCTCTCCTCCTCTCTTCTCTCACCCATATTCACGCATAGTTCATGCAATAGATGATACCAGATATATATACGCGTAGCCGTCCCTCAATCTCCCTATTCATTTCTCTCTCGCCTCTCGTGCGTCCTGTCATCTTTGTCGCGCCTCTATTGATACAGCGCGAATCCGTTCCCTTTCGTTTCCCATTTTGTCGATGGCTCGTTTCTCATCGGCCGTACGTGTCACGAACACGATGCACAGCGCCTCGCCTTGCATATCCTCGCCCGTGCCACGTCTCTTTCCGCCTGTATCGTCGTCCCGTTTTTCTTCTCTCTCCCTCCTTCTCTCCCTCCCCCTCCCTCTCTCTCCCTCCCTCTCTCCCTCTCTAGCCTCGCTCTATCGTGTATTTTATCCTTTCTGATCAACGATATCATGCGTGTGGACACGTCCAAGTTCGACAACAAATCAGCAGGATCAGTCAGTGATGTTATGAATTTTGACATTCCATCCGCGCGACATTCTTCACTTCCTTCATCTCTCTCTCTCGCTCTCTCTCTCTCTCTCTTTCCCCCTCTTTCTCCCGATCTCTTTATTTCTCTCATACTCTCGCTCTCCTTCGACTACGTGTGGGCGGTCGTGCCTGTGAAGCATCGTTAATGGAGGACCGCTTCCACGGCGGTGGCTGCTCCTACGGTGACTCTGCAACTTTGTCGCGCGAGCATCGTGGAAATAGCGGCGTACATTTCCGCCGTGCCGTTCTCGTCATCGTTGCCGTGCATTATACGCGCGCACCTGTCACAGCAGCACTTGGTGCTGCTCCGTTCCGTCCCGTGCCGTGTATCCGTAACGCGGTGCCACCGTTGTCGTTGTCGTCATCGTCATCGTCATCATCATCGTTGTCGTTGTCGTCGTCGTCGTCGTCGTCGTTGTCGTTGTTATCGTTGTCGTTGTCGTCGTCGAGAAGCCGCCACCGCCACTGCCATCCGCGCACAGAATGACGGCGCCCACTAGGATATGGCGCATCGGTGAGTGAGTTTGTCACGCACGCACGCACCCACCCACCTCGCGTCTCTCTCTGCTTCTTCGAAGAGGTTGATGGGTCAAGGTCGTCGGGCCAGTCAGCCAGCCAGCGAGCGAGCGAGCGAGCGAGCGAGGCCGAGCTGAGCCGAGCCAACGCGCAGGGCCTCCATCTGTCAAACAGCTGTTTGACTCCCGTACATCCAACTTCCTGCTGTGCATCATCCCTTTCGCATCTCCGATCGCATCGATCTTCGTTTGTCTAAAAAAAAAAAAAAAAAAAAAGGAACGAAATGAAGTAAAATTGGTTAATCGAAACTACAACGGGTTTTTACATTTTCGTTGGATCACGTCGATCCTTTTGCCGTGACGTTCACTTGAAATTAAATATCCTTAGTGAAAATTGATTATTAGTTCGTTTCGATTATAGTTTTTTTTTTTACATCTATTAAAGCGTGATTTATATATAATCATTCGCTCTCTTTCTCTACCTCTTTTTCCCTCATGTCATGTGACGCGATTACGGTTTAAATGTCAATCTTCCAGCGAAGCTGATTAACTAAAATCATTGTTGTGACTGATTCTTTTCGTTTTGAATTACAGCTGTCTTCGACTTGCAACCCGAGTTGCGAATTGTATTCCTTTTGGTCCGACCGTACTGAAATTAGTCATCATTATAAATTCGTTTTTTTTTTTTATGATATAATCGAGTGTACGTACCATTCAGAAAGATATAAATGAGAAAAGATTTTATTAATTCTGAACTGTTCAGGATGATTACTTTTGGCTTGAAATTGAAATGTGTCAGTACTTATGCCTATTTCCATTCCTACTTCTCACTTTATTGCTGTTTTGTCATAGCGCGCTACGCTCATTCAGGAGGTACGTACGATGTTATAAGTCTGAAATTGTTAAGTTTTTTACTTACGTCAGTTATTATATTTAAAAATATTTTATTATTAATATTATAAGATACTATAATATTAATAAGATTGTTCATAATATCCAACTATGAAAATGCATGATATATATATATATATATATACTATAAATATGTACATTTACACATATATTATGTGTATGCGTGCACGCACTATATACAGGGTGTCCCAGAATGACCGCCAAATATTTTGCGTGCTGGTAGAGTGGATTAAACTGAGTTCTCTAGCATTTTGCAATAACGTTAACAAGATATTAATTACTAAATATTGCCGAATATTAGTTTTCAATAATTCTTTACTTAATGTTATCAACTTTACAAAAAAAAACATCAAGTAATGAAAATTGTTTATTTCTTTTCATAGAGTTCTGAGAATTTTTTCAGAATTTTTCATATCGCTTTTTTTCACTTTGGTAGAAATAATTGCCAATAAGAAAATGCAGCACTAAAAAAATTGGCAAAAAAATTCTGCAAAAATCCTTGGAGCTCTTTGAGCTGAAAAATAAACAATTTTTGAATAAAATTTCTATCGGGAGATAATAAGCATAATTATTGCATAATAAACGCGAGGAGTCCCGTGGTTACGCTCCTGGTTACTCCGGCTGCGCGCTATCTGATTGAAGTCAAGTTTAATTGTTATTAATAATTCAGTAAACAATGGTCTGAGTCAAAAGTGGGAAAAGAACTTTTAGTTCAAAATTCCATTCTCTTTTATTCCAAGAAACATTTATTAAAAGTTATAAAAGATCCTGTGTATATATATATATATATA